CAAATTCACTTACTAGATCCCCACACGCAAACTCAACCCCTTTCGGATCATACATTGCCCCACAACTCTCAGAAGCTCACCGCATACCCGTATTCAAACGCTCGCGCATACCCTCATTGGCATCCAAATGCCACAAGAACATACGACAACTCAAACAATGGAACTCAGTTTCACCTTCGATGGCTTGTCGGGTGCCCAGAAAATGCTCTGACGTACGTGCATCTGGTTGTCCACGGTGTTGCAAAGAACTCGAGGTCGAAGGTGTATTGCCATCTTCCGGACACGAGAAGCCCCACATTATCATCCCTGAACGACCTCGTGCACCAAAATCTTCATGCTGCGTTCTCCTCATCCTCCAAACTCGGAAACAATTCGAATTACGAGGAAGGTGGACGGAGAGCTCATTTGATTGTCCAGAATTCAAAATGATCCTGAAAACGGATTTGATGATAATTTTAGGGTAGCAAACTGAGAAAACCCTTATCAAGGTCTAATGGTTGAGACCACGCTCGTGGTTGGCATTTGTGGTGGGCGAGGGGGTGAGGGCCGCACCCTCCCCCAGCGCCCAAGGGACGGCGAGGCCCCGACGACCTCCACTGGCCCTTTTTGGCTATGGGTGGCGGCTACGGCCCATCGATGAGGCCCTCTGGTTCTTTTTATTTTTTGGATAAGTGCAATTGAGAACTTTCAAAAAGTGCATTCTAATTCAAAAACTTGTTGTGGACATGTAATCTAGTCCTAAAACTTGTCATGAAAGTGCAATCGAGTCCTAAAACTTTCAAATAATGTAATTAAGGGAAGAACTTGGTTGGATCGATTTGACTTGATTGCATTTTTTAAAAATTTTAGGACTCAATTACTCTTTTGTGACAAGTTTTATGACTTAATTGTACTTTCGTGATAAATTTTAGGATTTCCAATGCACTTATAGCTTTTTTTTTAAGCATGGGTTCTTTTTTCTAATAAAATTATAGTAACTTTTATTTTTTAATCTAATTTAAGTAAGATTTGGAGAAGCAATAACAAAAAAAAAAAAGAAGAAGCCATTTAGGAGCTAGAAAATAATAAAAATGGCAAGTTAGCATTTTCTGTTAGGAAAATTGATGAACTCAAACGTGGTCCCCGTGTCACTAGTGACCCTTGCTCAGGCTTCGGTGAGGGACGCAACCCTTGCGATTGCCTTGCTGACCTCGCCTGTGGTCGACAATGTGGGGGACTGGGGGTAGCCACATCATCCCACAGCTTCAATAGAACCCCTTCACCTTTTCCCTCTTTCTCTGCTTTCTATTCTTTAATTTTGTTTTATCATCTTTTGTTATGTCTTTTGGGTTTTGCTTTCTGTTTTTTAAAATCGTTGGCCTATTTTTTGACACGGATGCATGGGGCGTTACGTATGTTAAAAAACTAAAAAAAACGTCTCCTTGCCTTTTTTAGGCGTGCCATGTCAGCATTAATGTTTGAGCGGACATCAGCAGGAGAAAACTTGGTCGGATACCAAACATTTAGAATTTGTTGCACTTTTTCAAAATGCTCAGAACTTAATCGTACTTCAGGCCAAATGCCTAGAACTTATGATGTCAGTTCCCCTTTTGCGCACTAGTATCTAATTGAATTCTGGTCCAGACTTGATGCGCCCTCCTCCTACTGGGCCATTAGCTTACTATTTTGTATGTTTCTAATTGTTTTTTTGATTTTGAGTTTTCTTTTTTATTTATTCCAATGTAATTTACATCTACAAACACAAAGGTTAGGGAAAATAACTAGACAGTGTTGATCCTCAATATTGATTATTATATTGGCGGACATGGCCTCCGGAACCAAGCGTAGTGTCTTGGTGTGGCAAGGCCGATAACTATTACCCCCTATACTGGGATAGGTCCAGGCTGCCCAAAAAATGATCTACACTAGACATGCCCTTTTTTTTGTATGAAAAATTATCCAACAAGTCCTAACTCTACTGTAGTGCAGTCAATTTAGTTTTAAACTTTTCAATTTTGCTAATTTAGTTCTAAACATTTTGATGATTTGCCGATGAAATCCTCTTAGCCAATCTTGGTCGGAAAATCTTACTTGGATACCTAGTCATCATTGACCGTCCTATGGCACGGCCGGCGCTGACATGAGATTTTTTGTAAAATTTTTTTACAATTATTGAATTTCTCTTTTTTACCGTTTTCGTTATTCTTTTCTTTCAACGGATTTCCGGCTGTCGTGATCTACCCTCGAGGGGCCACTCTCGGCGAGTAGATTTAGAGGTACTTACTAGGAAGATGGTCCAAATTGGCATCCCTGAAAGATAGCTTGAACACATCATCTAAAGGTGATCCAAAATAGTCCATCAATTCCGAATGTGGACTCCCGCAGCCTTATTGCTTTTCTTTGCTCGTGTTCTTCGGCTCGAAGACGAAGGTAAGAGAGACAAAGAGGGAAAAGCTCAGCAGGGCCTTTCTTCCTTTTTTTGGTCCTCGGACTTAAGTGAACCCAAATTTCATGGATTAGTTTCTACTTTCTAGGCCATATTAATGGGCTAATGAATAGAGGGCCAAAGGCTCACGGGCCAAAGGGAAAATGAGTTTCGGTCCGACTTAGGAATTGGGCCGTGTGTATGGACTACCAGGCTTTATTTTCTCTTATTTATTATTTTTTTTTTTGTTTTGCTTTTTTTCTATTTTTTATATATTTACAAAAATGGACGTTTGGATGGTTGGCAAAAATTTAGGTGTCAACACCGGTTGATGGGGTCCTCGAGGCCTTAACGAGCCTTGCCGGCCACAGGTTTGGGCGAGGGTCAATGGGCCTTGGAGACCCCACCGGCCCAAAATTCAGTGAAAGGAAAAAGAAAAAAGAAGAAGAAGAGAACATAAAAAATTAAAAAAAGAAAATTTTGAAAAGATTTGTAAAATTGTCTATGTCGGTATTAGCCGTGTCACGTAGGATGGTTGATGCTGATTGGGTATATACGTCAGCATTTCCTAGCCAAAATTGGTTGGAAGGACTACATTGGCAAATAGTTAAAATGTTTAGGACTAAATTGGCAAAATTGAAAAATTTATAATTGAATTAGTCTCCGTGCAACAGGTTTAGGACTCTTTGTACAATTATGCTTTTTCTGTGCAATTCTCGACATCTCTCATTTTACCAATACACCATGTTTATGACCAACTCGGGCTATTGATTTACTATGTAGTATATCGGCTTTCATTGAGTTGTTTGATTATGTCTCACTAAAACTAGTTTGGTTTATGAGGCTATGTCTACCAAACTCATCTTGATTATGAAAATAATTTTTCATCACTAAATCAAATCTTGTTGTGATAATCAGGATAAGTTTACGAGTTAGAGTAGACAATCAAGGGAAATTTAGCATATTTTTTCAATTAACTACCACTATAAGAGAGTGGTGCGATAAGAGATTGAAAGGCTTGAGAAGAATTTCGCAATTCTCTTGGGTGACCAAACTAAAGATTTGGCCGCCAAAGGCTGTGTTGACTAGCCTTTGGCGCGTCGCTTCGTTCATAGCTGGCAGAAATAGCTTAATAGTAGAGCATAGCCTTTGTGACCAGAGCTTGGGGTTCTAAGAGGAAAATGGTACTTCGCTTCACCAGTTTTTGGAGAACAAAATATTTGTTCGCAATAATACACATAAAAGTAGCGTTTTGCTATGTGCACAAACTAGCTTTGCTAATTGAAAATTAGATTATACATATATAGTTGATATTGGGTTGATCATCAATAGTTAGACCTGTCAAAATGGGTCATAATTAACCCATTTATCAATAAATGGGTCATAAATGGGTATAAACATAATATATGTGTTAAATGGGTCATAAATGAGTTTACAACTTATTTAAACTCAACTTATCTCTATTAGCCTCACTCAATCTCGCGCTCACTCACTCCGCATTCTCATCTCATTTTGGGTATGAATTTTCCTAAATTGAGTTAAATATAAAAGTGTTTTAGCAATATGGGTCGGGTCGGGTCGGGTGTGGGTTGGGTATGGGTTGGGTCGATTATGGATCGTTATATTTGTATTACATGAAAATAGGTCAAAACGGGTTAAATGGGTTTATTTGGGTCAAATCATTTTCGATCCGACCCAAACCCAATCCGACCCACCCATTTGACAGGTTTATCAATAGAGATAATGTTAGAGGTGATCATAAAATTTGGCCTGGTCGGGCTTCTCGAATAAAGCCTAACTTATTGCACATGCTTGTCCTTTAATAAAATTTACAATATAGATTGGACGAACTTGGCTCGAGCCTAGCAAGTTGGGGTTGGGCTTTATAACCAAATGTCCTTTCTAAAGCATGCTCCAAATGGTCTTCGAGCCTATACTACCCAAACATGCCAGCGATCAACTAGGTTCATAATCAACTCTAGTCAATATACGAACACGAATTTCAACTACTAATAACATTACTCATTCATTTCAAATGTTAACAAAGTTATAAAATGCTAAATACGAGAGACTGGTAACGAAATACTAATATTTTAACACGAGTCAATTATAATTTGTTACCTACCACTTTCGCGCGGTTCAATCAACAAAGGCATGAACCAATAAATACCCTTCATGGATTAAATTTTATTTTTCATCAGTACACGTATTATTTCTTTTTTATATAGACTCGGTCCACGTCCATCATGAATCGAGCGATCCGAATCATGTTGATCCTTCACCTCAATTATAGACCATCATAGTCAGACATGTGCAACCATACCTTACTTTAAAAAGAAACTTCAACTCAGACGCTATCATAGTCTCGCCACCTTCAAATATACACTATCGACCGAAAGAGCAAATGGCATGCATGATACAATGTGGACTCGAACAACCCTAATCAATAAAACACTCGTCCTCTTGATTGTATCGTCAGGAACCTTCCTCTTCTCACATCACTCACCAATAAAGAACTCCAGGAAAAACGGCCAATAACTATAGTAAAAAGTAAGAATCTGAGAATAGAATATAATCCACAAAAAGGAGAGGCTACTTTCCTCAAACGAAAAGCAAATTCTCATTATTGTTCCGCATAAAAAGGCCTAATGTACCTTCTAAGGTGGGGTGGTGTACCCTGATTCGATCACATTCACGACTATGTATGAAGCATTAATTGGTAATGAGACCCTAAAACAGAAAAAACAAAAGTGACCACATGTTTTGGCTAAGAACGAGTACAATGAGGGAAGACATTATTATCGTGGGCAGTTGCTAGAAATGTAGCACGTAGAGAATCACATTCAAAACAAGAGAAGTGGCAAAAACAGCGGCATTCTCCGAGCGGAGGGAACTGGAGGCCCCATAATCCTGTGGACGGTAGTAGTATGGGAAAGTCGACATTATAGGGTTTGGTGGAGGCGGGGAAGCATAGATGCTTCCGATTCCCGGTAACTTGCACACGCTGCAGGCCGGTGGCATTGGCGGCGGCGGGCACTCGACTTCTGGTGGGGGTGGAGGCGGCGGTGGCGGCGAGCACTCAACTTCCGGTGGGGGCGGCGGGGGTGAAGGCACAGGCTGGCACGGGTTGTCGCATTCAGCGCACATTGTGCATGTAATTTGGTCTCTGGAGTCTACTGCTGCAACCGTAGGTGGTGTTGTCGACGCTTCAGTTTTGACCGCCACTGTCGTTGCTGTTGACGTGGTGGATGGGATTGCGATGCCGAAGTTTAGGACGGTCAAAAACAAGTGTAGCAGGGAAACTTTCAACGGGTCAAGCATTATTGCTGTGGTTCAATGGAGAACAGACCAAAATCTTCTGAAGAAGAAGAAGAGGGCAGCGAATTTGGAGAGACGTGGGAAGCCGGAGGATTCTTAAGGAGGGTGGCGAGGAATAAATACGAGATGGCAGAGGGTAAAATTGTCTAGACTGTCGTAATCCTAATGCATTTTTATTAATTCAGTCATTTTGCCGTTGAGTCATAAATATTTTTATTTTTTACCAATTAAGTCTATTGGGACAATTTTAACTGGAAATCACTGACGTGGACGTTGGTCATCCAATGTGGCACGGCCGGGGCTAAGGTGGATAATTTTTAATAATAATTAAACATATATATTTTAATTTTTTTAATATTGATTCTTTTTCTTTTTTCCTTTGTTTTTTCCTCTGTTGGCGAGGGTCGTCTCGCCTACGGTCGGTGCAGCCGTGAAGACCCTGGGTGAGGCCATCATAGGACGGCTGGTCGTGCCAGGTAGCGCCGACTGACGTCTATGTCGGCAATTTTCGGCCAAAATTGGCCGGATGGATTCGATTGGCAAAAAATTAAAAGATTTAGGACTCGATTGGCAAAATCGAGAGGTTTAGAACTAAATTGACAAAAGTGGAATAAGTTTAGGATTTTTTGGAGGGGACGTGCTAACTACTAACATTTTTTGTGGTTTATCCTCTCTACAACATTATTATTATAATTCTCTGGAAAAAGACAAAATAAAGGAATGGACCTAGAAGGAGGGGGTAGCTTTTTTGGAGTTTCTGTCCACGACAAAATTGGCTACGTAAAGAAGCTAAAGGGTTTGATGAGGCCAGATCGACCTCCACGAGTTGATCGAGATAACATATGGAAACGCCTCGGCAGCATCCACATCGCGAATTAAGCAAAAAAAAAAAGTTTGAAACGAAGGCACGTTTCGCGCATGGAGGAGAAAGCTAGGTCATGATCGGATTCCTTAAAGTTTACGCTCTCTTGTAGTAAAAAAATGTGCACTTGATGCTAGCATATGATACATAGAGAGGGAAATGCCTACATAATGGTCCATCACTTTTTCATGAATAACGGACCATTATTAACCACAAAAAGTGTTGCTTGGAACCTTTTGACCGGCTTGTCCGGTTCTTGCAACATTACCTTTTAATTTTAGACGCAAAACTAAGAAACAATGTAAAAAAAAATGTGAAATACTAGTACTACTACCAACAACAACAACAACAATAATAACATGACTCCTTTAGGATAAAATTTGTGTTATAAGTGCAAAACTTTATAAAATGTGAATATTGTTATTCACAATATGTGAATTTCCGACATGATATCATTTTAAAAATTTTGGACAAATATCCACCGTCTAAAATTGATAGTCAGATACTCATGAATTTCTCTTTGTTGAATATCATTAGATTTGTTGTTTCAAATTCTACGCACATCCAAAACGGATGGTTTTCCACAGCAATTTATGTCCGGTTGCCCATAATACAAAAACGAAATGGATGGCCCATACTGCACCGTTACTCATAGGAAGTAATGGCGTGGTCATGGTAGGATTGTCACCGGGTACTTTACGAAAGTAGTGCGGGAGATTCCCCATTGTACCCGGCTGCTAGATGTGGCATGGAAGAGATTGTAAATTGAATCTTGACATCGAGAAAATATGAATTTTGTAATATTATGTTTATGATAGTAGATAAAGAATTTCCGATGTTTCGTTATAAGTTCAGTACTCCTAGTTGGGTACCTAAATAAGTTCGGTTGTGTTTGTTTCACAGTAAATCAATGATTTGAAAAAACATTTTCTTAAAAATAATCGTTTAAATTGCGTGAAATAATTAGCCAATGAAAAAAAATTTTCGTTATCAACAACAATTTATATATAATCATTTTTGTGAATGATTAAAATATTTTTCGTTTATTCATTTTCGCAAGTGATACACACACGTGATCATTTTTAGGAAAAATATTTTCCAAATCATTTATTTTTTGCGAACAAACGCACCTAGTTTCACTTTTGGAACCGGGCTCCGAGAGTGTTTACTCTCAACAATCAAATTTGGTACCGAGTCATATGAAAATTTTCATATACTCCATGAGTTACCCACACAAAATCACATAGTTTGTAGAATGCATGTAGACATTGTTTTTAGAATTTTATTTGAAGGGACTCCGAGATTCTTGTCAAACAATAAACCAGAAAACAAACAAACAAACAAACGTTACAATTTCCACTGAACAGTTTCTTATTATTTTATGCGCGACCAATATTTTGGGAATCGAATCGTTCCATAAAGAATGTAATAAGGGCACTTTCATAGTACACGCGGGTGTTGTGCATGGAATCTTCCTAGAGGCACCGTCCGCAAAAAAACCCTCTTTTGATAGTTAAGGGATGGGAGAATTATAAAAAAAAGTTTTAAACTTATTGCAATTGTGCCAATTAAGTTCTAAATCTTTTTTTTTTTACCGACCGAATCCTAAACATTTTGTATTTGTGCCAATCCAGTCCATTTGGTCTCCATTTGGTCAATTTTAATTGGAAATCGCTGACATGGACGCCTACCATCGTACGTGGCACAGGGCGTTGACGTGAATAATTTCTAATATTATTTGATTTTTTTTCTATTTCCTTGATTTTCTTTTCTTTGAATTTCTTTTTTTTTCTTCCCTTCTTCCTAGTCGGTTGCTAGACCTTGGTGACCGGCCAGAGGAGAGGGCGAGCCTTGCCTACCCATGATGAGGCTTGACTCTTGCCAGATCTAGCGAGGTTGAGCCTTGCTAAGGGTGGGCAAGGCTTGCCATCGCCAAGCTAGTGAGGTCGACATCGCCAGTGATCGGCAAGAGCGAGCCTCGCCATGATTGGGTGAGCGAGTTCAAGCCTGGCCATGGCTGGGTGAGGTACTCAATTAAACATTACTAGAGAAAAATCGACGAATCTAAGGCCAAACAACAACTAATCTAGTGCTAGGACTCTATCGGTGATAGCAAAACACAGCATCGGTTGAACTTGATAACATTAGGAACTCCTATTGCGGTTTGATGAATGACGGATTGATCGAAGATTTTTTGGAATCTTAAGTGTCATTCAAACTCGAGATCCTTGGAGATAGCCGCAAGGCTCTAAACATGACCTTGGTTCAACCACAGAGATGAGACTCATTTCATTGACGAGGAGGGGAACGAACAAGCCAAGGAGGATAGACTGGAGAATGGAATGGTTGAAGAGGGCGAGGCTCAAACTCCCTAGATCTGGCAAGGTCGACCCTCACCAATGGTGGGGCAAGCTCGCCCTCACGAGGTGACGGTGAGGTCGGCCTTGTCTCAGCAATCGGCTAGAGGAAAAAGAAAAGAAAAAATCGAATAAATATTAAAATATTATTAAAAATTGCATGTGCCAGCCGTGCCATGTAGGACGGCTGGCGTTCACGTGAATAATTTTTGGCCAAAATTAATTTTTTTTTGTCTGTCTTACTCTAACTCTCAACTCATTTTCAGATTTTTGCTTTGCTTGTTGCAGGGTGTGGGAGTCGAAACCCACATCTGAAATCACACGTCCCTACCCCTAGCCTCCCTGAGAAGGTGGGGAATCGAACTTCCCACCTCCCCCTTCCCAAGTAAGAAATGTGGCTACTAGGGTAAACCCTAGTGATTGGTAAAAATTGATTAGATGGACTGAATTAGTATAATTGCAAAAAGTTTATGACTCAATTAGCATAAAAAAGATTTAGGATTGAATTGACACAATTATACTTAATTTATGACATTTTAATAATTCCCCCGCTTTGGAAATTTTTTTTTGTTTAATAATATTTTGGGAATCGAATCGTTCCATAAAGAATGTTATAAGGTTACTTTCCTACTACACGCCGGGGCTGTGCATGGAATCTTCCTGTAGACACCGTCCACAAAAAAAAAATTTAAAAACTCTTTGATAGTTGACGGTGTACCACACAACGTTGACATTGAACGTCCCACAGGTCTTAATCAACATTTTCTTTTCCCACCATCTAAATTAGAATTTCATCAATCATTGCCTCGGATCTGTCATTCTTCTCTAACGGCGGATCAAATGATGTGCTTGCCCCGCAAGAGCATGAGAAAACGTGCACCGAACACTCGTGGAGTTTCAGGTGGAAAAGTTAAATTACCTCTCGCGCATATGGGACGACAGCAGTAATTTATCTTTTGCAGAGCGTTCGCAACTACTTTTAAATCGCTCATGTAGACGCCGGTAATGTCACGTAAAATAATAGCTACGTGAATAATTTTTTTGTTTGAATTTTGAATTTTTTCTTTTTCCTTTTTTTCTACCAAGTTCAATGAGGGTTGCCCACCGACCCTTGCCAGTCGCAGGCGAGGGCCGACCAACCCTCGTCGACTACAGGTGAGGGCCGACGACCCTCGTCGGCCACTTGGTGAGGGCTGACAACCCTTGTCGGCCACTGGGCGGGGGCCGAAAAGCCGTCGCTCGCGGCTGGTGACAGTTGGCCACCAACCCTCGCCAAGTTTCAAAGAAAGAAAAGGAAAAGGAAAAAAGACAAATAAGAAGAAAAAATAAAAAATTATAAAAATTGTCCACGTCAGCGTCAGCCGTGTCATGTTGGATGGCTGGCATTTACGTCAATGATTTTTTGTTAAAATTGGCCGCTTTGACTCAATTCGCTAAACATAAAAAGGTTTAGGGTTTAGAATATTGTAGAATGTCTTTATATTAATGTTTTGGATCAGTAAAGGAATTGTTATTGATACAATTTTATAGAATGGGATTTAATAACTCTAGTCAATCTTTACAAATATATAGGCTTGTCAAATGGGCAAGTTCGGTCAATCTAAATTAACCTATTTAATGCACATCTATCCTGCAAAAAGAGACTAGGCGTTATCGCAATCTATGCTTTGCATCTGTATCGCAATCTATGTTCTTTGAGCCGAAGCTTTGGCGTTGGGTTCGTTTGGCGTTTAGCCTAATTTTAAATTCAATAAAAGGTTTCGGATAAAAAAAGAAGAAGAAGACTAGGGGCATCTTTATTGCTCGTTGGTTTCCTCTTTAAAAATTTTTATCAATAGAAAAAGCAAATCAAGTCA